GGTGGGACCAATAGCCCCATCCGTTGGCCAGCTACTTGATGTACTGTGCACGGGCCAGCTACATGTGGACGCAATGGTTTGATCATGTGGACGCAATCATCATTGGTTGCAACTCGTGTCCCATGTGGCATGACTGGTGGAGGAGGATGACTTGGAAAGTGGAGGAGGAATCTGATCTCCTGTGAAACGTGCAGTGAACTGCTTCAGATATACGAAGAGATCGATGAATTTCTCTCTGGAATTCAATCTTTCATAGATCAAATGATCATATCTTGTCGGGCTTTAAAGGACTCAAGAAGGCTACAGGTTTGGGCCCTCCAGCCACTCACGTGATGATAGGAGTCAAGCAAACAGATTTGACAAACCTCACATAAACACATCGACCAAGCTGCTGTTGCTGGGTGGTGGAACATGGTGGAACAAGAAAACAGCTTTTATATGGATTCAGTGGTGTTCATATCTCAAAGTAATCACAATGAATGCTGAATCTGTCCAAGTCTCACATACTTGTCTTTCGGAACTTGCAAACCGGGCAGTGAGCTGGAGTTCAAGGACAAAATGCAGTGATGCTTTGTCACATTCATGAGGACATGGGTGTCATTGTAGATCTCTTTGATATATCCTAAAGGCTGAAAGGGTAGCGACATATTGAACCAAACTGTGGAGATGTAGGGTTGGTCACTCACAGTTGAACCAGGTGCCAAGTAGACTGGCAAATCCTTGGTCAACTTCGAAGAGTTTGAGCTCAACAAGATCTCAAGATCTTGGCCCTTCGAGGTTAAGATCTTAGCATCGATCATCTGGTCACTGACCATGTCCTGCAAATACTCAGCCTCCAATCTGGCAGTGATGTTCTTCGAGGTGTTCGCATCCAGGTGCTTGGCTTCAAGAACCAATTGCTCTGCTTCTTGCGCATAGGAACCCAACAACGCTTCCTTCTTCAAGGTGTCAGCACCCGATGGACAGGGATACACCGTGGCAAGTGGTCCCAGCGCAACACCTGAGCTGTGCAGCTGCGGTGATTGCAGATTTGCACAAAGGGCTGCATGTTGGGGTATATCCTATTACCAGTAACATGATGATGATGATGGTTAGCAAGGCCTTCTCTAAAATAGTGATAATTGTTTACAAACTGTTACAGGTATTCGGACAAACCCCAGCTGTTATGCATGACTTCAGTGAACATTACAAAGGAATAATACCTCACACAACCGGTGATTGATGGCTGTTCCTGTACATGTTTTACATGGCTGCTTGGGAAACAACAAACAAATAATTAGTTGGTTGGTTCTTAAAGTAATGCCTGATGAGCTGCAGCAATTCCAAACTTTCATCCGATAGCCGCGTTTCGTCAATCGAGGTGCTAAGGATCACAGGGCTGTTGGGTACATTCTTCTGGTTTGTTCCAATAGAGGATCATGACGAACCCTGTAGACCACTTGAAGGTCATTCAACTCCCTCTTGACACATGTGGACAGCACAGCTCAACCACAAAGACAACTATGCTTGCTACTTTCTGACACCACCAACCAATGTTGGCACTCCACGCCTTGGTCCCCTCGTTTCTTCACCCTACTCTCCACGCCTGAGTTCAGCGTCACAAGATCGCCCATCAAGGTTCCCTCATGCGCCTTCACTTGACCTCAGTCCGACACAGTCAGTGACAACGCAACAACATAACAACGACAACTGCGCAAAGCTTCGGTGCCGTGGCTGTTGGCGACTCATCGATGCGCCAACAGCTTATTGATGCGTCCGATCGCTCCGTTCGTAGCGATGCCAGGAGCCCCGTTGGTAGCTTCTTGTTCCTAGTAGCAAGGCCAGGAGCCCCGAACGTAGCGTCCTTGCTCCTACAGTAGTGTTTGATGCAGGGCGTGGTATGATTGTATGAAACACATGCATGCATGTATCCATCGTCTCCAATTGCAGTATCCACGGCCGAAGCATTGAGACCCTTGGGAGGCCTAAAACGACCTCTTGATGCGCAAAGAGCCAAGTTGAATCCTCCGAGCCACCGATGTCCATCAGCGGATTGGGAAAGCTTTCGGCCAAGAGAATGGTCGCTCTGGGCCTCAAAAGGCTCCGGTGCCATGTGATTTTGCTCAACCTACACAGGACCAGGGAGGGCCGCTGTTCAATTGAAAGAAGTGGAGGGTAGATCACTGCAACATGACCTACAGTACACAGTAGACATAGTCATAGCCCCTGATCTGAAAGTGGCGATTGAGGGCCGCTGCAGTGCCCGAGTGGTGTTCATCTGCACAGAACAGTGTTTGTTGAATGACTTTGCATCAACACTTCCTTAAGATTGAAAGCACATTCCACACCCATCCACCTTCGATTGTGGGAATTGCAGAACAACGGCCACATCAGCAAGGGTCTAGGTGCCATAATGGCCCACAAATCAAACAAATCTCGTCTGAAGCAGCGCTGTTGTTCGGTGCATTCCACATACAATTTCCGTTGCAACGAATGACCCCTAAGACCTCACTCGTTGAAGGCATGTCAAATCATCCCAAGTGTCTGAATGGGTTCCAGGATCGTGCGAGGCCATTGTACCAAATCCAGACTCACATTCCAAGCGTTGCCCTGTGATGACCATACGCTGCTGCACGAATCCTGACAGATTGAGTTCAAATTAATGCAATAATAGGGTGCAACGGCAATATTTATAACTGATTGGACTTGGAGTAGTCAATATTCTTACAGCAAAACTTGCTACAAGAATCCTGACTGGATTCATACATTGTGGGATGATCTGGGAGTGCTCAACAAATACAGCATGTCATGGTGTCATCCTGAATCAGTGCAGTTGTTTGCACCAAAGATTTGTGACAAGTAACCATGGTGTCAAAATATGTCAACAGTATGTTGAACTCTTCAATACTTGACATGCATGCTAAAACCCGGTATTGATTGTTGAAAGATACAAGTCGAGTGTCAATGCTTCAGGGCGTGAGAAACTGTGGAAGTACCCAATTTGGGACCGAACTAATTACAGGTCAGCATATCCAGTAATTACATGTCCCAAGCTTGGTATGTCCCCAAATATAGGATTTTCCAACATCCTGGCTGTTTGATCGGTTTAAACAAAGTTTTCCTTTGTTTTCTGCAACAGCTTGTGGGAGGTCACTCATGGCCACAAATTCTCTCATCATGGATGCTGCAGAATCAAATGATCAAAACAAGGTACATGCGGGTTCCAGGCGTCAGAATTCTCAATTTTTTTGTTGAGACTTTCTGACATCACTTAGTTTCTGAAGCTTTTCTGGTGTCCCCTCAAAACCACGAGAGATTTGGACTGCTAACAGTCAGGTCTCCGCTTCGACAACTTGCCGTATTTCAAGTAAGCCTAGCCTATATATATATAAGTCAGCCATAAAAAGGCTATTGCCTAAACAACTATGTGAATGAATTACTTGGCAACGTCACACACAGCTTGCCCGGCAAAACATAACAATGAGATGGAAAATCGCCCTTTGTAGTTCCAACGGAAATTCTAATTTATGCTTCTATGTTTGAAGGGTAGTTTACCCACCTGGGTACCCCACATCAAGCATGCGTAAAGTAGTCAGCCAAGCAGCGGAGGTGTTGCTGATGTAGACCAACTTCTTCCTGGTGTCGTTGCTGACCCAGGTGTCGATGGCCACATAGAACTCGACACTGGGAGCTTGTAACAAGCTATGTATCAACCTCAGTTCGACCGCGTTTCCATCTCCTCAATGAATTGGGGTGATTGAAAACCGCAAGGGAAGCACGGCAAAACAGATTTTGTGGAAGTTGGTGAAGTGGATATAGAAGGTGTGAAAGTTGAGACACATTGCATGCTTCAAAGACTTTCAAAGGTGAAGGACGGCTTTGCTTCGTGAGATGTCTTTGAATAAGCACTACTACATTAAGTGTTTGCCCCTCTCATCCTGCAACTCTTGAGAATTGCATGAGCTGTGAGGATTTGATATGTGTGTGGTCCCAAGATCACAACATGACATTATGCATGAATCATGAATATATCTCACAAAAGTATACAACAGTCTTCTTTTCCAGGTGTTGATGGACATGTGAGCTGTTGACTTTTGAAATTGTTGAAGGTCTCAGGCCCATGTTTCACTGTGACATTCACTCATCATTTGACATCTGCACTATCTGGTCAATATTGGCTTCACAACCAAGACACTGAGAGTAAGGAGTGATGTCCACAACGGTCTCCATTGGTGTCCTTAGCCAAAGGCTGCATCCCGCAGAGCCCTTCGCTCTATGAGCTTGCCCAAGCTCGGCTCTACAACGGATCTCTGCGGGGGAAAGTAGGTCTAACGGGCGAAGTAAAAGGGTTCAGCCCAAAGTCTGACGAGCGTTTGCCCAAGCGTCTTGTACGGTGTAACGAAACGTAGCAGTTCCACGGTTTCCTTCCCATCCTCGGCATCTTCGATCAACAGCAAGTTGCTGTCTTTGTGCGCTCGCCTCAGCTTTGGCTGTCGATCGACCTGAAGCAAACCTACTCCTGCCACTGGCACAATGAAGGTCAAGAGCAGAAAGGACATGAGAAGCGGTCCACATGACATGGCCACCTTTCTCCTGCGAATCCGATCCTCATCCAGGAGGATGGACAGTTCCAGCTCCGATTGCATGGATGCCAGGCGACGTTTGTTCGACGTCGCCTGGCGGACGGAGTTTCAGATCATATTGGAGCTGTGAGAACAGCCCTCTGCAAGAATTGGAGCCGAAATGTCAATCGAAACGTGACGGAGCCTGGCAGCAAATGCTCTTGAAACATGTTTCGCAAACATATTTCAGTCATGACATGACTTTAACTTCTCACGTTGCATCTAGGACCGTACACACATGGGTGTGTATTTCAAGACACCCAACCTTGGTCATTTTCCTTCCTCCAGGTTTCCCTATTTAAACAAACACACCCATGGCCCATATCTATGGTCAAGCAGGCTACTCGTATTATATTGCTGTGCCTTCTAGCTCCAATCAGCTCCGCTCACGAGACCAACCTGATCCAAATGCTCCAGCTTTCTCAGGTGATGCATCCTCAAAGTCACCTAGGCAACTCAGTCAACTGAAGGAATGCGGAACACAAAAAATAATTACAGTGGTTTCTCCGCAAGAATCCTGTTACATACTTCCATACTTTCCAGTCTCAGTGCTTTCAGTGATGACAAGTGATACAGTAAGCTATAAGAAAATAGGATATAATAGGATTGGTTTATGTTTCAACGGTTTGCAGATTTCTTAGCCCACATCACTCCACAGGATGATCATCAATCAAGAAAGAGTGGGGCTCCAGTTACTGTCTTGGATACATATCTCCATGGTAGCGTCCTTCTGCTCCTCATCCACCCTGCTGGTGCCCAAGAACAGGCGCTCGAACTGATCTGGTCCTCAAGGAGCTCCGAGCCGTGGAACCTCAAGGGCGGTGAAAAAGGAGGAATCATGAGCCAGCAATGCGCTGAGATAGTCGTTGATCAGCAGCTGTGACACTGTGACTACACCTTTCTTTTGCCTTCGCTTGCTCCTCGAGGTTTGGACCACGCATCTTCAGCTCAAGTGGCTCAAGTGTGGCCCTTGGCACAAACTTTGTGCAAGAAGCAAATCATAGCAAATCTACAGTAAGTAGGATCGGCCCGCACACTGGACGGTGCCAAGGCAAGTGCCACCCTAGCCCTAGCTGCGGGCAAGCGCCACCCCACAGCTGCGTGCTAACTTTTTGAAGTTGGCACAGGAATTGAGCAACCTGGGGCCTGGGCTAGGTGAAAACTTGCAAGTGTCCAAGCAATCAAGCTCCTGTCAACTGGGCCAATGGGACTGGGACTACCTCTGTTTGCTCACCGTTCCCGATCAAACTGTCCCGCAGTTGGTCAAACCTTCTGCCACCAATACTTGATCGCAACGGGTAGTTTGCAGGGAAGTACTTTTTCAAGCTGAGCCAAACAGCATACTCCTCAAGCGCTTTCACCAGCAAGCTCAAGGATTTTGCCACGTCTTTTGTAGTTCGTGAAAATTGACGCCTGCGCCTGGGGTTGAGACCATGCAGTTCGCCAATGTGCTGAGACAATTCCTTGGCTGCAATGCTCACTCCGGCCCAAAGGCTTTGGTGTTCTTGAGCTGCACAGGCCACTTCTTTAGTCAAGTTCGCCGTCTCACCTGCTACCTGAGCACATTTGCCATGCTTTTCAGCTGCAGCGCTGCAGGCATATGCCACGCATGCGCAACCTATAGCGACATGGTCACAGAGTCACAGGACGTGACTGATACTGCATCCAGCGATCCACTCAGTGTAGCACTACCCGAGCCAACCAATATGGCTGCAGGGAGTGAGGATACTCCGGCAAGTACTGAGATAGCACCGATAGTGCCCCTTTTGCCCCAGTTGCACCTCACTGAGAGCTGTTCTTGCTTCTTCTTCTTTGCAAGCTGTTCAGCCATCTTTTCCATCAGGTCCTCTTCATCCGGCTCCAGAGCAGCCTTGATGAACATGGTCTTCCCCGAGAGGACTTTTGAAGTTGTGACCACATCTGCCATGGTCTCTTGGAGCAAATCCATCTCATTCTCATTGGCATGTTCCCAGATTTCCACAAACAGCGGGGCAAGGTCGTGGACTTTCGACCGCAAGAACATGACAGACTCAGCGGAAGTTTCCAAGTGCTTCCTTGCTTTCTTAGTAATTTGAGTGGCTGATTTCGGATCAAGCTCCTCTATCTCTTGCACTTGTTGAACAATGAGGTCAAAGTTGACAGTCTCGATATATAATGCGATTTTCTCCATGTTCAAGAACTGTTCAAGTGGATGGCGATCCACCTCCTGGATCTCCTCCTTTGGCTCAACTAGTTGGAAGGAAGACTCAGACATGAAGGGGGGCAGCAAAGGGTTGAAACCACAGCTCGGCAAGGGTGCAGAAAGACTTGTCCTGGTAGTGAACCAAATTGCTACAAGCAAGCCCGCATGCGTGAAGTTCAAGAGCGCACCCTATCACTTGATATCGTTTGCATAGTTCAAACACATCAAACATCCAACAGTCTCCAAAGTTAGAGGCTTGTGCCGGACTCTTGCTTGGGGCCCTGACAGCTGCCGAGGCTTCAGCGACTCAACGCCAGCCTGAAAGAATCCAGAAAACATCAGAAAACCAAAAAGCAAAACCACGGAGATTGATGGTGCAATCGATACAAGCTGATACCCTTCCATCCACGTAAATCCCTAATTATCAGCCAAAGTTAGTCTTGTGAATTTGTCTTCCAATACATCGTAGCTTCGAATTGTGTAGAAGAATCGTAGGTTCAAATGGTTTTTTATCTGAACATGTTCGTCCATCCTTTTCCAGGTGAGCCCATCAGCTCACCCCGTCGTCACCCGAGCTCCCCTCGTCGTGCCTTGGAGGGCTTCTGACGTTCCACAGGGCTCCGGGTAGCATTGGGCAAGTCGAACCTCATCGCTGCACAGCGCCAGTCCGACTTGTTGCCCCCGGGGAGGTAGGCCGCTAGAGGTAGCTAGTAGTAGCATGTATAGTAGCATGTAGTAGCATGTAGTAGCATGTAGTAGCATGTAGTAGCATGTAGTAGCATGTAGTAGCATGTAGTAGCTAGTAGCTAGTAGCTACTAGTAGCTACTACTAGCTACTACTACTACTACTACTACTACTACTACTACTACTACTACTACTACTACTACTACTACTACTACTACTACTGCTACCACCTAGGACGCAGGATAGCTCCCGATCGCACTATTCATTTGATTCCTAGATTTGTTGGGACACTTAGAGGTTGCTGACCATGTTGCATTTTTTCAGAGCCAACGGTCTGACTTCCCTAACAGTCATGTTTGTGTTGTTCCAGTTTGGGTTGGGTGGCTCCATTCCTACTGTCCAACAAATGTTGTGTGATTGGTTTGAACTTTTTGAACGGATCATCTCACTTCAGAATCAGTGTCTTTTCCATGTTTATATCATGTTTGTTGTTTTTTCCTTTCGAAGTGAGTGATTGTAGAATGCCATCTTGTGCTTTTTTTCAGATCCACAGCTTCACCCTGATCCCTGCTGATCCCTGCCTCCTCCCGGCTGTTTTTGAGCGGAGCTGGCCTGGAACAACTGCTTTCACCGGCGGCGTCCACTTTGGACTCGCTTGGGTGAAGCAGGGTGAAGCAAGCCTTCACATTCTACTCGCTCAGGCAGTCTCGACTTCCTCCAACAAGCTCTGGAGGAATTTCTCCAAGGCCTTCCACTGAGAGTCCAGGCCCAGACCTATGACAGTCCCGGGTCGCCACTTGGCAGTCCCCCCCTACAGGATAAACCCAAAGCTGTGTGATCATATGTGCTGATGTCTTGAATATTGGCTCTAAGTACATTCCCAGGAAAGGCAGCACTTGCCCTCTGGGAGGGATGTGATTGATGGATGCAGAAAACACGGCAAAGCTACATGCTGAGCAAGATGAAACCTTTGCAACACTACTTTGGTTTTAGTTTCCCTGCCAGCTACAAACATGTCAATGTGTAGGTTCAACCCATAACATAGAAACCGTTAGTCGAACACTATACTCGTTTGGAAAGTTCAGTAGTTTTGGAAAGCTCGCACAAAGTCAACAAGAAGTCACATATCACAACATGTCTCACCATGGTCAAACCAAGCATGTATAATTAGTCTGTCTCAATCTTCAATCAAATCCATTTGCAAGCAAGTTGCGATCTGAGGCGAACAGAGCACACTGGAAACATGAGACCCTCACAAAGCTTCGGAAGTCTTCTGCACTCATCTGGTCTGGATGATCTTGACTAGCTGTAAAGCTGGACCAGTAGACGTTCAGTAGTTCATCCCAAGATTCTGCCTCTGGTGCGCTACAAAGAAAGTATGCGAGATCTGTTGCTGGACATCCCACTGTCCAATGCTGAAAATTTCTCAGAATCACTTCCGAAGTCTTTCGATTGATAGAGATGTTCTCCGTGCGAGCATCTCCATGGATGATGCAGGTCTTCTCCAAGCCAATGGGCAGTGCATCAAACAGGCTTTGATGCGCCAGGAGCCGAGAGGCCAACTCTTTCCTCTCTGAGACCTTCCAAGCCTCTCCGAGCTCTTCCAGGGTCTGTACCGATTGGACTGCGACAGGCTTTTCCAACCCTTTGAGACCTTCAATCATGGAGACTTTGGCAAAGCTGGCAGCATGGAACCGTGCCAAGGTGCTTACGGCCATCTTCAAATCCGCCAGGGAGCTGAGTGGGAGAAGGTGCGGGAAATCTTCCATGAGAAGAACAGAGCTTTCAGGATCTGCTTGGCTCACTTCATTGTAGAAGATCTTTGGAAGCTTGACGGAACTCAACACACTTAGCCTCTCAGCACACTCGAAGAACTGGGCCTCTGCGGAGCTCCGGCTCAAACACACGGAAAGAGGACCAAGCTCCTCGTCAACGAGGACGTCCCGCGCATAGCGCAAGATCAATCTGAATGAGGACGTCCCGCGCCCGTCCGGGTCCGAGTACGGCTCAACTGCAAAGGCTGCCAGGCTTCCACTGCGCAGCTGAAGAGCTTCTTCCAGCCACTGCCGAGTTAAAGGACCCCCATGGGCATTTCGGGCCAGGTCCAAGGTGCTACACACCCGCACAGCAGCAGAAACGATGCTGGGACTGGCAGCGGCCAGCACTCCTTCAGTATTTCCCATTGCTCCATCTGGATCATAGCAAATCTGTTCACCATACCTGGCTCTTGGGACGAGTTACCAAGGAGTCTTGTTTGTTGCTTTCATTGGAACGACCTTTCATTGGCAAAGCTGAGTCTTGGTCCCGAAGCAACCTTTTCAATCAGCCAAGATATGTTGGTGCGTAAAAATATATGTTCTATTCCGGCCAGGGCACATATTCCTCAAGGCACCTCCTGATGCTTCCAACATGGCTTCAGCTGCGCAGGTGTCCCACCTTGAAGTGCCTGGACGAGGGAAGAGCCACAAATCCTTGGCAGGAGAGTGGAAGAATAGTCTTTGAATGTTGGTCTTCGTGCAATGTCGGTATTTGGTGTTGCCAAATTGCAACCAAAGCTGGTTGGACTCCGCAAATCTTACTCCAAACGGCATGCACTTACTCCGAACGGTCACCCTTCATGGGGATCATTGGTTGATGATGGGAGTCTTGTTTAATTAGAAGCATCATTGTACATATATCGTACATAATTTACAGATTTCATATTGCTCTGCCCCAACATATAAACCATTTCCTGCAATACATCTATATAATTACATGAAATACTCCATGTCTTCCTGACCCGAAAAGAGTCTGAGCTTGTCGGGGATCCATTCCAGCCTCATTCCAGTTTCATCCCAAAGATCTATCTAGCTGAGGTGCGGCAGCACCATCAACCACTCGTGCAACCTTATGTCCCGCGCCGCCCGCTTGGCATCTGCCGGTAATCAAGGGCGCTGAGACAGTATCTTGCTGTGACAGGGGAGGTCCTGACAGCTGCGTGTTCAATCTACTTCCTTCTCATGGGGTGCAATTGAATGCCGCAACTCAAGATATCTGAAGACTGTGGGGTTAGAAAAGGATACACAAAGTCCACTTCATGAGCCCTTGCACATCCTCATTCGACAACACTCTTCTACTTGCTATAACTACTAAGTCCCACTATCAACGAACGAACCAGCCTCCTCACCAGGATAATTTGTTCATGGTACGCAAACCCCCGCCGAACGACGAACAATCTCCACACGCCCGATGGCGAGTGGTATCGTATTGGATGCCCTGAAGCGGGATCTTTTGGAAGGCTCCTCTAAATCAAGTGCCTCCCCAAAAGTTCCCCGCAAAACCACCCTGGAAAATCTGCCACTCCACCTGGAAACTTTCCTCATAGCTCAACACCAGGTGAAATTCAGGCTTTCGGCTGATGCAAATTTGGAATCTACCATCTCCAAATACTAAGATGCAAACAGAACATATTCTGAACATTTCTCATTGCACCACAGAGTGGCAGTAGTTGTCACGTCTCGCCAAGTCTAGTTGCCCCCTTGCTGGTGCCCTGCTACTCTCCCGCGGCAGCTGGAGCGCCTTCACCGGTGCCGGGCTCTGAAAGCCGCTCCAAGGCCTCTTCCACCACCCCGCCCGCGCGGCTCCGGGAGAGGATGGCCAAGCAGCGCGAGGGCGGGTCGCGCGCTGGGCGGCTCCAGTCTGGGGAGCCATAGACCTAGGGCTTGGGAAACCATGCTTCAATATGCTTCACTGGTTTTGTAGATGGTCACCCTCAGTCGCAACCACAATAATCCTACTATACGTCATAATTCCTAACAAAAAAGACCTTATGGCAAAATCTCTAAACCTCCAAGGCCACATGGACTCCAGGCGCTGGCTGATTGGAAGGAGCCTGGCAACATCCCCACAAAATCCGCCCAGGCTGTGGATACGGCTCAGAGATCACCCCTGCCACCGGGCGATTCTGTCGGCTGATGCCAATGAGGGTCGACACGTACTCGTAGCGCTGCTCCGTGAACTCTCGCGTGCCATCCAAAGGATCCACCCAAACGCAAAGCTCTGAAATGGGGAGATGCAAGTCCGACGCTTCAGACCATTCACCATCCAACAAATCCTCCATGGGTTCACGGATCACGATGTCTTCTCCCTCCTCTTCAACACCTAATTCTCCTTCCTCGCCCACGACATGCAAGTCCATTCCATAGACTGCACGCAGATTCTCCACAATGCAACGTTGAGCCTGACGATCCGCAATGGTTTGGGGATCAAACACTCCAGTTCCAAGGCCTTTATCATGCATCTGCAGGCTCCCAGAGGTCTCTAACTTCCCCGACACCGTTCGAATGTGATGTCCAGCTCGTTCAGCCAGGTCAACACATTGGGAGACCAAGCGCTTCAAAGAGATCGTTTTGGAACTCATGGCGTAGCGGGTCACCTGCTTGATGGCCACCGACCGTCGGGCGCGAGCCGAAGCGCTGCGAGAGGCGCTGGATGCGCAGGCGACCACCAGGGCTGCTGATTGCCAGGGTGAAAATCGGCGGCGTGGGCTGGCGATTCGAGGCGGAGAGTTCACACAGCAGGATGGTGCAGCTGCAACCACCAACATGTGACTCAACCAAGAAACCAAACTTGTCTATATGAAGTCTAAAATCATCCAGAAGCTGAAGCTCTTTTCCACATCTGTGAAAACACACAATCTTGGTGTGGTCAAACCTCAGGTTCCATCACGTGAACTCCTGCACTGACACCTAACTACGTTTGACAATTTAGTTGTCTGTGTTGACATATGTTGGCTGCCAAATTGAGGACAATAATGATGATGATAATGTTGTCCGAAGCTTGATCTGAGTGTGAAGCCTGAGCATGCGGACTGAAAGGAGTTCGACCATGAACCAAGCATGTCTTACCAATCCCTGAAACATGAAGCCTCCAGCCGAACCAACTTCGCTCTATAATCAACAAGTGTCAGCTTCCTCTTGAAGTGTGGGCGGTAACTCTAGCATAACAGCATAACATGGCAGCTCCAGTCTTCGAGGTCTTCAGGTCTTCCTTTGATCCTACCTGGACCTTCCAGGGGTGTCCAATGAAGATCCCTAAGTAGTGGGCTGGGGCTTGCAGCCAGGTGGCCCTTTTTTTCAGGTGCTGGTGTCAACAAATCTCAACCTTTGTTCAAAAGGAAGCCAGGTGATTTGTTAGAAAAAATGACAAGTTCTGGTATAGAAGGAGGAAAACACCATAGGAAGCATTGATCCTACCATGACAGGTTCTGGTATAGTCCTGCCTTTAGACCTTCCTGGACCTCATTCGATGCCCAGATGCTCTGAGAGCTGGAGCTTCAAGCCTCGAGGGAAGCGAGGAAGGGCGCGAAAAGGCAGTCGTTCATGACCATGTCGACGAGTGACTCGAACTACATCTCCACAGGGAAAGCGTCGATCGAACTGCGTTGTACAAGCCTCTCCTATATAACATATATAACCATCTCTAGGCTCTATAGGAGTTTGGAAAGACCAAATCTTCTGAGACTTTTGATCCAATCGATTCCGCCAAGTCGATGACTGCGTCGCTGCGGGGTCTCGGGAGAGTTGAGGAACTCCATCTCCCGAGATCTTGGTGGCCACCGGCTGAGTGATCCGCTTCAACGGCAAACCAATGCGGTACAGAGCTTCACAGCAAATGCCATTTCATTCTATATGATACTTATAGCAAAGCCTCATGGACTTTTGGATGCTGCTTGGCTTACAGTTGAAAGCATAATCAGCAAACGATTGTGTAGCTCCAGTCCAGGAAGCAATGGTGTCATGCATCATTGCTGCGAGCCGAGATAGGTATGTAAATGTAAGCAACCATCATGACGTCTCAACACCGGGAGCACCCGCGTCAGCCATTTGGATTCAAACAGGTGCTCCCGGTGTCTGATGGTTGCTGCCCCAATTTGTCCTCCAACTTTTTAGACCTCTCATGTTGTCAAGTACTGTGCGGGGACTCTTGATCTATGGCTGTGTATCATGAAACGGGAGACCCTTCAACCAATGGCTTCTAGCGGGCGTCTACCCACTATTGGATACACCCCTTTTTGTATGGCATCCCTTTTCTTTCAATACCGGCACCCCACAGGCATGATCAGTGAGGTAGGCCGAAGCAGGACAAGCTTACTGGCATCAATCCTCCCAAGTTAACTCGACTGTTCGCCCTCTCTCTTCTACAAATCGATCGAACCGCGTTCAAACAAACCAAACAAACCAAAAGCAGCAACCAAATGCAATAAAGATATTCATCCGTGCAAACCAAAGTATGCCGGCCTTCTTGGCTGGGACAATGATGTGTCATCTGGTCCATCTCATTGAGTTCACGAAGACAAACCCAACAAGAAGCGCCATCGTCCACCAAGCGAAACACCCACAACGAAACGCAACGAAGCGCATACACATAGTCAACCTGCTAGTCTTGGGACATTCAATCTGGACGGGGTGGTCAATTTGTCATCCAAAATGGCCAATGGTTTGAAATGACACATTGTACGATCCGTCTTTTCTCCAAGCAAAAGCCTGCGCTGTGCTGGGCCCTACCAAGGCTCACCAAGCCCCATTCTTTTCTCGTGAGAAAGAGGCGGCAAACCTCAATTTCGACTGGCATGACCTAAAGATCCTGGATAGAATGCATAATGCATGATGATCCTCAGGTCAAACTATAAGCAAAGCAATGGACTGGGTTTGCTTCTCTTAGGTCAACCATCATGAACACTATCACTATGACTACTGATTCGCAAAGCACCGCGCATGACAGCGCGGCTGTCAGCGACGGCGCTCGGTCAGGCGTACCTGAGGGCACAGGACGCTGAGATACGTCGAAGTAGACGGTCGACATAGACGGTGCATCGGATTGAACCACACTCCATGTAGCTTTTGTTGCAGTCTAGTCTAGTTATGATGTAAAGGGAAGTCTATAGGTTTAAGCAGAACTGCTCCCCTGGGCGTCCAACCCTTGTTGATAGGGTGGGCTGTAAAAGTCGCGGTGGTCAAAGGAGTCTGTGTCGATGGCCTCAAGTCTCGAAGGAAGTCTGTCTCGAAGTCTGTCTCGAAGATGTGTTTCCAGGAAAACCAACATGATCAATCAGTATCAGTATGGGCTACTTCGAGCAAGCAAGCATCGAAACCGGTGGAATTGCAAGCCCTCTATATAATATATCATGCATAAAAGTCAGGACATTGGGGTCTGCAGTGAGAAAACGTTCATCACAACCCACAACTGCTCATTGGGCGCGCGAAAATGGTTGTGGGGACCCATCTAGGTTAAAACACTTCGCTGGATCCAAGGGATTGTGACCTTCATGCTGGATCCAAGATGATCCAAGAGATTAGTCATGGCTTGGAGACCTTGCTGCAGCTAACCAATCCTCAAGGGTTGAGGCAAACGTGTTGGGCAGGTTGTGTTGGGACCGTCTGCGAAGCTGATGCTGTTAATTATCTTTTCCTTTTCCAACTGGTTGCTTTGATAGGGGTGTCATCAATCTTCATGCAAATTCAATTAAACAAAGCAACTGACTGTGAGTTCCTCCTTTTCTTGAGCTTCTTTTGCTTCCCAAATGATCATTGCCTCAGTGAAGTGGATGGTACAGCGCAACCAGTGTGAGTGTTCCTTCCGGAATTTGCTCCCGGTCTGATAGGACACGGACGACCGCCTCATCCGTGTGCTCATTGAAGTAGAGCTTGTACCCGTGACTCTGAAGCAGTTGAGCTATTTTCGCTGGTGCCGAATTGTCCCGAAGAATTGAAACTGCCACCACCTTCACCTGGCCACTCGCAAGCGCTTCTTCTGCCGATTGCAGCGCGTAATATTCACGACCCAAGACACTGATGCGGAGAATGTCTACCTGGCCAAAGCCTTTAGATTGGAGAATGGAATCTAAGCTTGTGCATTCCTTGATCTCTGGCAGCTTCTCCACATCCTCCTGCCATTCCGAGACGTCCTGCCATCCCGGCTGACTCAACACTCCGGTCTCATCGAAGACCAAGGAATATTTGTGACTCTGATTGGCGCAAACAAAATGCTCCAGGACCGTCAACCTCTCCTTCATCTCATTACTCTCTGCCGTGCGCCGCAGCGCAGCCACTGCCGGAAAATAGGCATCGATGGCAAGGCCACGACTTTTGTGGTGAGAATGGGTCAGGGCATACAAGATGCAGCCTCCCAGGTGTGCTCCAACTTCAACCACAGTGATTGGTTGCCCACGATGCTCATCCACTTGGTCCTTGAAGACTCGATCACAATGCAAATCTAAAACGGAGCGTACGTGGTTCGACTCCACGTTTCGAGTGGGTAAGAGATGTGCGAAAAAGGGCTTGGAGATATGTGTCACTGAGTCCCGGAGGTGGAGGCCCTCGATGACTTGGCTGTCAAGGCGATCCAGGAGGTCAAACAAGGGCACCGCAGAGCGTCCCACGGTGGCGATGATGCCATGCATCTCTGTCCAAGATGGAGGTGCACGTGCCTTGGTGTGCAAATAGGCCTGTAACAAGTACTTCTGCCCAAGATGAAGAAGTTGTTCCATTCTATCTCGCGCTGGGCTCTCTACTCCACCATGATCAAGAAGTCCTGGGGCTTCAGTAATGCGCAAAATATCGGCGTCGGCAAAAAGACTGGCTGACATGTCCAAACTGCTCCAAGATGGCCGTCTCAGCCGCCTAAATTGCAATCCACTAGCAGCTGTATCCAGGGACAGGTAGTGCTTCAAAGCGGCAACGAGCTCTTCTCTGGATGCCACTGCATCCGGTTCGTTGATGTCCAAAATCTCCGGAAACTTCTCTATAACTATTCGATGTACTGTGCCCATGTGAAACCAAGGTGCATAGCTGGTGCCGCTCGCCAAGTAGCCTGTAAGATTTATATCAACCACATAGGTGCGTGAAACATATTCTGCGTTCACTAAAAGCCTTCGAGCAGTATGTAAGCTTGCTGAATCCTGTGGTAGCTGTCGCAATCTCTGAGCTATACGCGCCAGCACAATTCCCCGGTGTGCTGTAGGACAGCTCGACCAAGTATTCATGGCATCCGCAGCCTTATAGACATTAAAGTCGATAGCCTCAAACTCCGCACGCATGCGTAGGAAGGCCAAAAGCTGAGTACAACTCCTCTGACACCACTCCTCCACTTCTGGAGATGACGGCCGTGCATCGCAGGTCCGGTCCAAGCCAGGAATCTGAGCGAGGAGAAGAGGCAGTTGGAGAAGCAGCGATAGTTTGCCAAACATTCGAGCGCCATGGCCCTTCCACAGGGCGGCTGCGCTTGGTCTAGGGAGGTCTACGATTGTGAGATACGGTTTGATACAATGACACTCGATGGTAATGATGTGAGTGTAAAAGACTGCTTTGCAGGGACTGACATCAACCCGTGCCTGTCACAACTGGAGAGATATTTAATTGTGAAGGGCTCCGTATGCTCCTTAAATTTTAAATCTTGACATGGCTCCAGTCATGCTCATAAGAAGACCCGAGCTGTGACAGGACCAACCAACACAGATCTGAAGATCAAGCTCGGGATAGACTTATTGTTTCCACATATTATACATGATTCATGAGCACATGGTCTGGTAGGGACACACAAACAAACTCGAAGATAATTCAAAACTCTACTCACCCACCTCCAAACAAATTGAATTCCCACTGCGACCCATGGACATTTCACCCTGACTACTAGTACCCTGTCACCCCATGTCCCTCCCATCAAGTCCAAGCGCCCACCCTTCATGTCTTCCCGAATCGGATTGTCCAAGCGACAGCTGCCGGAAGAGCTTCAAAGTCCTCATCCTCCATGTCCCGTGGCCCAAAGGCCGGCGACATGGCCGTGTCCTGGCGACAACGACATGGTTTCAGCGTGCGCATGGAGCGCCACGCGCGCGCGCCGTTCATCCACCAACACCTGGGACTTTGGGACACACCTGGTACTCGGGCCCGGGGTGTTTGGGGGTCCGTAACTTGGTGCCCAAGGGATTTCAGACTTGGGCCAAATGACTTAACAAATTTGGTCAACAATTCTGCCACACAATCCCAAGTCCCAAGAATGATTTGCAACGAATGACCACCCACGATCTGTGCAACGTTGTGCAACCCTCGATCTTTTTTGTATTTCTCAAGCATTCTGCTGCTATCTCTGTCGGCTGTGTGAAACTGCTTTGAGAGGTGAAACAAATGCTGGCCGTTGAGTCAAAGCTTCAGTCGGCTGCAGCTTTCGGACTTCACCGAACATGTGCCCAGCACCATGCCGGCCAAGTCGATCTATTCAAATTGATTCTTGTCAGAAGGGTTGGGCTCAAGAAAACAGCTGGCACTATCAAGCACGCTGACATGGTCCAAAGTTGCGAAGGCTTATAGTATGCTGGTTTGCCTTTCAAAAGTAAGTCCAAATTGGTCCCAAAAGCCTCATATTTATACTATTCTGCAGCGAGTTTGTTCCACAATATACAGCAACTTCAAACACCCTCCATGGTCTCACATCTTTCACCCTTGTTTTCGTCGCATTTACTCGAACCAGCCGGGCTTTTTGAGCCACCGAGAAATGGGTCCTATGGAGAACTCCTCTTTGGGCAGCGGCACCCCACGCTCGCGACGCCGCGTGCGGAGCGCATGGGGCAACCCAGGACCCAACGAGCCAAGCGCAGGCGACCTGGACCGTGGCGGTGGGAAAAGGCCGGGCGCAACGGACTCGAAGCGTTTGAAGCCATGATGTGATGAACACTTGAGGAGATGCGCAAGGGGATATTATAGTCAAGATCCAGTTATATAGATGCAACAGAATCTGGTTGAGGTCCTTGAGATATGGGTGTTGAATTCTGTTAATCAACAAACAAAATACCAAGTAAAAGTATGTAAAAGTCTAGTGCATGAACATCTGTTCCCCTTGGGAATCCGGAACGATGCTACTAAACCAAACCCCCACACCGATGTGCGTCTTCCGCCGCGCCCGTCTCGGCACCCCGACCTGCGAAGCGCCCGGAGCCGCCCGGTGAGCTGCGGAGCCGCTCGGACTCCTCGATCTGCCCTGGCGGTTCGTCGAGCAGCGAGCACTTGTTCCTAGTAGCTTCTTGTTTCAAATAGCTTATTGTTACTACTAGTAAGGCACTTGCTCCTAGTAGCGATGCACTTGTTCCTAGTAGCTTTGTGTTTTTTTTTGATCGAATGCTTTGCAGTGATTCATTTGTTGATCAAGGATGATGTGTGTGCGCCGACAAAGAACCCGTTGTTGGAATCATGAAGTCCTTTTAATTGCCATGTACCAATGTAGGGTGTTGTTTGTACAGTGCGCACATGTTGTTTTGGATGACCTCACAGCCTGATAGTCACAGTTTTATCCCAAGAACCCCCAGTATATATGGCCAATGGTTCTGGCTTTATGGAACAACGCAAGGAACTGGGCACCTTTGGAACATGCCTAACTTGAGACATGGACCATGGATATTCAAAAGGCCCAGCATACATGTACTGTACATGGCAGGAGGTTGATGGCGCCTGCGCGCTGAAGCAACTGGTCCCGGGTTTCAGTGTCACCCAACCTGCAAGTCGTGCAGCCTTCTTCTCTGTCGCACGTCGAAATGAGGAGATTGACGGGAGATTGGATTGGAATGAATTGGAGGATGACATTGCCAATCCTGAGAACAGCTGGAGCCATATTTGGACTACTCCATCTGGGCGCCATGCTTGTCACAAGTTTGGGCGATTTCAACCAGGTAGACTGCCACGTTGCGGTGCTGCTGCCTGGTGTTGCTGTGGCCACCAAAACAACCACCCGCACTGAACGCCCAAGAAAATCACGGATGCTCTTGGATGCAGTCCGGTGCTTCACAAATCTCACAAAAGGTGTCCGTTTCGCAAAGGGGGTCTCCCTACGCCCAAAATAACTAGTATAGAGCCTCACACGTGCGCAGCTGTCTTCTAAGGTTTAGAAACATCAAGAAAAGAAACATCGAGTCTAAGGTTTAGAAACCTCTAAGGTTTATGGGGCCATAGAGGTACCAAACATACAGGCCATACAGGCCACGTTTCGTTGGGTGGTACCGCTCCTTTGTGTTCGCTTGTTCGTCCAACCATGCTCTTCTTGCCCAAACACCTACTAGCTTCTTGTTCCTACTAGTAAGGCACTTGTTACTAGAAGTGATGCACTTGTTCCTAATAGCTTTTTGTTACTACTAGTAAGGCACTTGTTACTAGTAGCGATGCACAGGCGCTGGGGTGCCAGCCCAAACTTCAGCTCCATGATTCGCACAGAGCGTTCCAGAAGCACCTGTGGGGGCGATCGCAAGCGTGAAATGATGCTTGCTTCACGAAGGAAAGACGTCCCGTTCGTGGGAACGTAACATGTAACAACTAGGAAAGTCTTCCAGTTGGCGTGTGGACTTATGGCTATATTCCAAGCTTCTGTGTTTGCCTTGAGAGCACCCTTAAGAGCAAGATCATCCACCATCCATACGACTCCGACGCGTCATCTGTATGGGTCTTTCCGAAGGAGGCTAAGATCTCTGACGTCTCGTTCTCCTGGCTTTTTACATCAGAAACATCACGGTTGTCTTCGTCTCAGTTGTCTGCTTTCTGACAAACATCTGAAATGATCCGGTTTCAGATAGCAAACAACTGAGAAACATCTGATAGCAGGGAACATCTGATAGAAACCGTTTAGATCTCGAAAACATCTGATAGCAGGAACCAGGAACCTCCCTCCCTCCTTCCTCCCGGTCTCGTTCGTCGTTGCTAGGGGAGAGCACGGAACTCCCTCGCCTTCTTCCGCCGGAAGTCGCCCAGGTCGCCACAGGTCTGTGCCAAGGCCTGACGGCCGTCGAGCAGGTCTTGTTCCCAGGTCTGCAGGAGCTGAAAAAGAAAAGAAACTCGGATCTCATACGTCCTGCTTCTATTCAATTGTTGAAGCACCTATTTAATCCTAATGTATTATTCATGTGCGTTCGTGCAAATCTGGGTGGTTTCGCAGTGGACCTTGTCATACTGCGTTCAACATGCTGAGCTTTCAGCAGCCAAGATCACACCAACGTTGTAGTGGTCGCTGCCTGGAGGCTGACCCACAACTCACAACCAATCGGTTTTGTCCTGGAGGGTTGATCGCTTGGTGCTTCACACATTGCGCAAATGCCAAACATTGGCACCACATGGCCATATGGCACCATAACCTACTCTTCTGCCATCATTGACCTTGGTTGGTAGCCATCAAAGCTCGTGGCACCGCCGTTGTCTTTCTCCATTCTCCTTTCCCCTCCCCCAAATTGACACCCTTCACCGGTTCTCTGAGCTCGGCGCCAAAGCTGCGTTCCATGATGCTGACCGACTTCTCCAGCAGCTCCTCACAGCGAGGACGCCGAGGACGGCCCGGCGGTGGGCCGTCCAACGAGGCTCGGAGGCTCAGACATAGCAAACAAAAGGCGCAACAGAACGCGCATACATAATAGGATATAATAGGACATACACAAATTCATTTATGTTGCATTGATATCAGATTATATCAGAACACATGCAACATCCTTCAAGTTGGGTGCTTTACGGGAACCGGGGATCAATCAAAATCACTTAACCTCATGACTACATGTGCGAGAATGCACCTTCGCCTTGCAAGGGGTAGCAAAGTGACTGCGGACGGTGTGCATGCCAACATGCGACCAGGGTTGGCCATCCTGGCGCACCTTTTCACTGAGTTGTTACCTGTTGTTCTCGGCACTTTATAAGGTTTCTAGATGTTTCAGTGCAAAGACGAAATGCACTAAAGGGCTACTGCATGACCGAAGAGCAGGGAATTATGCTCTTGCGAGCTCTCTTCTCAGTTAGAACTTCTAAGAGTGTAGCTGCGGCTGCCACTGATTGGGCCCCTGCCTGCCTACAGCCACGCCCTCAGCCATCCTTCTTTCGGTGGAAGTCTCGCATGCGGTCGTAGACCATGCTCAAGCCAGTCAAGGAGCTGAGCCTCGAGACCGCATTTCTTCCAGAACTCCCAAAACATAACCAGAACGGCTCAACCCTAGGACGCTACTAGGGGCTCCTGGCCGTACTACTAGGAGCAAGGACACTACTAGGGGCTCCTGGCATCGCTACTAGGAGCAAGGACGCTATTAACACTCATCTCATTGGAGGACTCATCTCCTTGATTGGACGTCGACTGCCTGCGTTCGACTGAGCCAGTTCAGTAAAGACTTCCTGTGGCCGTGGCAGTTCCCAGTGATCAGGTCCGAAGTGCCTCTCCTGGAAAAGTATGCTACGACTCGTAGCTGACCAAAGCTCGGAACATGCAGCTCGTTTTTTTTCTGTCAAGTATAAATAAGACGTAAGGGACGTGAGTAACCAATGTCTTGGGACGACCTGGGTACATATTACAAATTCAACATCATTCAACTTCGATCATTCAACCTCATATTATCGTTATCTTGTTTTCTTGCGTGCTTCAGCACACACCTGGAGCGGGTTGCAAATCTTCGGACAACAAACCCTGTATTGTGGAGGCACTGACTGATTGGATGACACTGTGAAATGCCACTGCAGTCCTGTATGCTGAGAGCCTTTTCAAGCAGCTCTTTCTGATGATCTACGTTGCCCAGATCACCGTATGCGTTGCCGAGGCTGACCTTGACTTGTGGACCCTCATTTGCACTGACTATGGCAATTTTGTCAGCTTCATAGCATTCCAAAGCTGCTTTTAGCCCTCAAAACCCTGAAACACCTAATATATTAATTATATATAGTCACTATTGTGGTGGCATTGTGGGTGCCTTTATCTCTGGTGTCTTTCTCTCTCTCCCAAACTTCTCAGTTCCCAACTAGCGCTTTGGCAACTTCAGCATGTTCAGCTCCAA